AACCGGAAACTATAAAATCGATGACTTAATATTATTTACGAGTGTTTTTTTCTTTTTTTTATACTTTCATATAATATTTAAATAAATAATTAAAAATATTATTTGAGATTTAAACACAAAACTATTAAAATATTTCAAAGACTTTATCATTCCTCGATCCTTAATCATTATTTAAATGATTCTTAAAAAAAGTTTTGCACGCGAAATATTTTCTAAGGGTTACTTCAACTAGACATTCTTAAATCATGAGGTTTAGATTGTAAATTGATAATTATACTTTAAAATGTTTTCAAATTAATTTAGAAGGTTTTAATATCTTATCAAATAGGCCCTTCAATCGATTTAAATGATAAATATAGCGTAGATCTAATGTAAAATGTACTTAAAATATATTAATAGAATTTATATATGAGTATCTATGTATGAACTTGTATTTTTAAAAATGAAATATATAACTCCTAAAATTTAATAAAATTATCTAAAAATATTTTTTTATTAATATGTGGTAAGTACAAGATAGTATATTCATAGATAACTCTTTACCATTTGACATTGAATGCTCACACCTCTGGCATTACTAGTGCACAATAATTTTTTACAAGCTAAGCCATTTGATTCGTGCAATAAATTAAATAAAATTTATATTTTAAACACACTCCACGTAAATTTCGAACAAACGTTTAAATTAGGTTTGTTCTTACATAGGACAAAGCTAATAGGGCGATAAATAAACATGTGTAGTTTGAATATGTATTTACGTGCAATGTGTAATTTTCCCCCATAAGAAGACACGTTTCAATTGGGCGGTACCAAATCCTATTTGACTTGCCCCAATTCGCCCCCCGCAAACCCTGTCTCTCCTCTATTATATATCTCCTCTTCCATGCGTTATATGACTTCGGTTCCCAAGGTTTTTACACTTCTTACAAGTTTTTTCCCGAAACAAAAGGCAAGTTTTAAGGTTGTCTTAAAAGATATATCGGAAATGGGGAAATCTACCTGCTCCGACAAAATGGGTTGAAGAAAGGTCCATGGACAGCTGAAGAAGATCAAATATGATCGATTATATTCTGAAACATGGCCATGGCAGGTGGCGTACCCTCCCCAAAAATGCAGGTATATCCCAAAACATACTTAAATCATCGAGATTCGAGTCGAATGTTTCGAGTTCGTTGTCTTTTTCGTTACGATAGTTCGGTTAAGATTATGTTATTTTTTTACTAGGGTTGAAGAGGTGCGGAAAGAGTTGCAGGCTTCGATGGACTAATTACTTACGGCCTGATATCAAGAGGGGGAAATTCTCACGAAGAAGATGAAGTTATAATACAGTTACACAGTGTTTTAGGAAACAAGTAAGTGTTTATTACCTAGAAAATGTCAAAATATGTTTAATCGAATAGTAAACAGTTTGATGTTTTTTTCTTTTTTCCTTTTGTATTTTATATATTAAGAATGATTTAAGTTGAACTATACTTATGGACTGATTATAATAGATCAGCAAAGTCAATGTAACAAAAATGTTTGTTTTATAGTACCATGTCTGATTTACTCCTTTTTTTTTTAACATAGGTGGTCCGCCATGCTGCTCGATTGCCTGGAAGAACAGATAACGAGGTCAAGAACTACTGGAACACTAACATCAAGAAGAAGCTATTGAGAATGGGGATCGATCCCGTAACCCACACTCCTCGACTCGATCTTCTCGAACTCTCTTCGCTTCTCAGCTCATCTCTGTACAATTCTGCCGAATCCGACCGGTTTTACCGGCAGCATCGGACCAATGTTCAACCCTAATCTCCTCAGCATAGCCACTGCTTTCATGTCGGCCCAAAACAAACATGGAAGATAGTAACCCTGAATGTATCCAAGTACAAAACCAGCAGGTCGAATCTTACCAGGGAAACCAGTTCCAGAATCCTGTTCAAATCTGCCCTACGTCATCATCTTCAAGTACTGTCATGAGCCATATTCTGCAAGCTAATTCGAACTATTTTTCTGCAAATATTCCGCAAATACCCTTCCAAATCTGTGGCAATTAGATGGTAATGTTAATAACTATTCAAAGAGTTTCTTCCCCATGCAACTACGCCTACCGCCACGAGTCGAATCAGTCGATCATTAGCTCTTCAGCTGATCAAAACCATACATGTTTAACGAAACATCTGAGTCTGAATCCCTTCGGATCGATTTTATCAACACCGTCTTCGTGCTCGACGCCGTTGAATTCGTCGTCGAACACATATGTGAACAACGGTGCCGGTAGTGCTGCCGAAGATCGAAAGAGATAGTTACTGCAGCAACATGTTGATGTTTGAAGTTCCTAATGGCCGATTAAATGTCAATGGGTCCTGTAATGTTTCTGAAAAAAACACAAAAGTTAGATTAAAGTGTTTTTTTTAATTAATTGGAATTTGACTATAGTGTTTTTGTATTTTGTAACATCTATGTGAAATCTTTAAATATGTATTTTGTGTAGAAGTTTTGTTGATTTTTTTTTTCATTTGCTTATACAAATTTCTCAAGGGTTAAAGGTTGAAGTTATGCAGTTGAAATTGACATTTGCCTACAAAAGATTAGCTTATTTCTAAAGCACGCCCAGTTGGCTAAGGCAGAAAATTTACTTGCTGTTAGGTGTGCATCATTTCATGGGACCCTCTGCATTGCAAATAATACCAAAAGGAAAAAAAATCTAAATTTAATTAAATTATATTATTCATGAAAAAGCACATTCCAAATATTAAAACTTAGAGTCATGTTATCAACAGAGTTTATTCAAGTAATAAACAACTTAATATCGCTTAAGTAAATATCAAGTTCAAATATTTGTATATGCAGAAATTTTGGGAGACTCACCCACTATAGCTAAGTACGACATGAATCAATTCAAATAGCAAAGAAAAAACTTTAAAACAAAGTCAAAAAAAAAACTTAACTCTTCTTGTAAAATTAAAGAAGACAAATATGGAGAAAGAACAAGAGATAACAACTACAAAAAGTGAATATTAATTTTTTCAAAAGTAATATTTAAAATGATATTTATATTTATAAATAGAAAAATATAATAAATAAAATTTATATTTAACACGTTATTATTATTATATTATTATTATTATTATTATTATTATTCCGTACTAAAGAGTTAAGAATCTTTAACATATATAATATTTTTATCCCAATATGATATACTTTATGCTAAATTTTTAGTGATTAAGATAAATTATTTAATTATACTCAAGTTTTTTTTTTGAGTTGAAATCTCACTTTTAAACGATGATAAGTTTTTTTCAGCATGACAACAATTGTCAATAATATATTCATAAAAAACACATTCCAAATATTTAAAACTTAGAGTCTTGTCATCGACAGGAGTTGGTTCAAATCGTAAATAGTTTAATATCATTTAAATAATGTCTCAAGTTAAATTCTTGTATATACAGAAACCTCTGTCGGGATACTCACCCACCAAAACCAAATGTACAACGTGTCAGTTCAGAATAGTTAAGGCGAAGCTTAAATCAGGAAGGCAACAAAAAAAAAACTTATTCTTCTAGTAAATTATACAAACATATGGAGAAATAACAAGAGATAACATAACCACAAAATAAGTGAATATTAATTTTTCAAAAACAATATTTAAAATGATCTTTATATTATAAATATAAAAGATATAATAATGAAATTATATTTACATTATTATTATTATAGTAGTAGTAGTACATAAACAATGTTAAATAAAATTACATAAAGCCGGACAATGCTTCTCGTTCAAAGCGAGCGCATGAAAAATGAAGTTCTTGCTGCGTCTATGGACAGTCCACGGACAACTGTTTTGCGTGTTACAGCGTGATGGATAAAGCCGGACTACAACTAGATTAAGAAAAATACGGATGGTTTCGTGGGTGGCTCAGGGATATGGCAGCAGCAGCAGCAGGAGTTTTGCGTGACTAATGGTGCATGGTTGTTTGGTTTCTCTCGAAGCCTTGGCGTTTGTTCTGTTTTAAATGCAGAATTGTGGGAAATCCATACTGTTCTAGCTCATGCTTGGGAGTTTGGGACACGACAAATTATTATGGAATCGGATAGTGCAAACTGTGCAATGACGGTTCAACTTATTAATCAAACGACGAAAGGCGATGCCGGCAACACCATGTTGTACTGATTCGGGAGCTGTTAAACAGGAGTTGGGTTTCAAAGGTTAATCATAAGTCGAGAGATGAATAGAGTAGCTGATAGGCTTGCTTCCATGACGCGGGGTCAGCCGATTGGGGTGCAACTTCATCACGATGTACCTCTGGAGATTGCAGCGTTAGTTGCTGAGGAGAAGAACCCGTCAAACTAATTTGTTTTTTGTATTACCAAAAAAAAATTACATGAAGCACAAATCAACCAACTGTAGTTAGGGATGGGCATTTAAACCGACCCGACCCGATTGGGTCGGATTTTTTATGTTGTGTTCGGGTCGGGTTCGGGTTTAGGGTGAAAAAATCCGATCCGACCCGACCGAAAAAATATATAATTTTACCCTATATATTTAGGGATAATTACAATAATACCCCTCTATATATAATTTTTTTTCAATTAAGTCACTATTTTTATTGAATAAAAATAATTTTTTTATTCTTTCGGGTCTGGTCGGGTAAGGTGAAACCTTATTTTGGTCGGATCAGGTCGGGTCTCAGGTGGAGGTTCTCTTGTTCTCGGGTCGGATGGACTAAAAACCCGACCCATGCCCATCCCTAACTGTAGTGACTAAGAGATTTATCGTTATCCCTTAAGGTATTAAATTTAACCACTACGTAGGTAAGGTATGATCATTATGTACCAAAGGGTTAATAATCTTTAAACATATATAATACTTTTATCCCGATATATGGTATAATTTTATGCTAAATTTTTAGTGATTAAAATAAATTATTATTTTTTGGTACATAGGACAAAACGACAACATTTTGTCTATCATCTTAATAGCTCTATCCCATGGATATCAGCTAGCAAAAGATTAAGCAGTTCATTTGGTGGCTCCTCAACTCAGAGCGTCCCTTCGGTTCGTATGGAAGCTAGGTGTGCCATCCGATCGGCACTACGATTTCCTTCCCTCTAGGTATGTCGAACTTCCTTAACCCATCATTCTTTTATCATTTTTGACAGTCACTGATAAGAATTTCATTTGCATGTTAGTCGATCCACCTCCCTGTATCGCTTCGACAGCCCATCGAGCATCTACTTCGACTACTAAGTTTGTCGCTCCCAGGGTTTTCGCAAGGTTCAATCCTTCTCTTATACCCCAAATTTCAGCCATGGCTATCTTTATTTTGCCGAGATTTACCATAAATCTGTGCACCCATTTTCCATTTTCATCTCTTATCAGACCACCTGCGGTAGCCATACCCGTGCTTGCTTTGTAAGCCCGGTCTGAGTTCAAGATCCAGTGTTCACTTGGTGGTTTCCTCCATTTTACCCATTTGGGTTCACAGGTAATCCACTATGTTTTATGTTGTTCTTTGCTTGGGAGATTTCTTTTGTTAGATTGTTGCTGTTGTTTATCAACTGAGTTGTGTTGGGATTATTGTTTTTAAATATTGTTTCGTTTCTGGTTTTCCATAAGCTCCATATGATTGTAGAAAACTGAGTTCCCCAACCTATTCCATCTTTTGTCACTTTTACCGATCGACAATTCCATCACATCCATTCTTCGAAAACCTTAGATTCGAAGCTCACATCTTGACTCCTCACTTCGGTCTTCTCCCACACCTCTTTCGCTACTTTGCACTCTCTCAGTATGTGTTCAATCGATTCGATAACTCCCTAGCAATGTTTACACTGGCTTTCATGAGTAATCTTCTTTTTGACTTGTATTTCGTTCGTGTTTAGTCTTTTTAGAATCTTGAGCCAGATAAATACTCTTATTCTATCAGTAGTATTAACTTTCCAAATCCAACCCAGATCCTTCATATGTTGGCTCGAAAGACTTGCGCTCACTATTGCTTTATATGTTGATTTTATTGAAAAAATTTCATCTTTAGGAAAACCCCAGAGAATTTTGTGTTCAGAATTTTCAGTGTCCATTCCTGGTAGAGGTACACTTCTAATTTGATTAAACTGATCTTCGGGGAGTAAGTTCAACGCAAGAAGATTCCATAATCGATTGTCATTTATAAACTCAGCTACTTTGGTGTCATCTTCCTCTCTTCCTGGGACTTTATATCTCAATGGGGTGTCATCTATCCACCAATCCTTCCAAAACGTATTTTCTCCCGACCAAATTTACGTTTACAACTTTTACTTATAAAGTCCTTGGTATTCATGATGTCTCTCCAAGTAGCAGAACAGTTTCCATGAAAATTTGTTTCCAAAATTTTTTCTCCTTCAGATATTTTTTTCTGAAGATTTTACACCAAAGACTATCTTTCTTCTCTATCATCCCCTAGCCATTTTTGGCTAGCAGGGCTAAGTTCATATCTTTGGTCTTTCTTAACCCAATTCCACCTGCATATTAGGGTCTGCACATAGCGTCCCAGTTAACAAGGTGCTTATGATCATAATTTATAGTTCCTCTCCATAAGAAATTGCGATTCAATTTATCCATTGTGTTGCATGTTGAAACGGGGAGCATAACAGTCTGCATGGTATGAATGGGTATAACAACTGTCATATTAAAATAAATTATTCAATTATACTCAAAGTTATTTTAGAGTTAAAACTCACTTTTAGACTATGATCAAGTTTTTTCAGCATGACAAAAGTGTCAATAATAATATTATTTTTTTTCAGCACCTAAAGAACTCAGAAGCAAAGTAATTTCAAAATTTTCAATTTTAACATGTTCGTTATTGAAATCGATGAAATAAAAATATTTCATAAATTTACCCTAAATTAGTTATGTAGTTAAAAATATGCAATAATGAACCAATATGATGAAAACTCAGATTTCAATAATAATTTTGTCTAAAATGAAAGAAGTTGGCAAATAATTAAAGAATATGTGAAAATGACATTCTTGAATATTTTTTTTGGGTTAACTACATGATTGATCATGTTTTGTTTTGTTATATTTTCTTCACTAATTACGAAAAACATTATATATGGTTATTTTTATTTTTATTTAATAAAGATGTTGTCACTATGAATTAACTTGTTATGAACAGTTAATAAATTAGGTGATGTGACCGTTAAATATTTTAGTTTAATCACACATTTGGTCTCTATTATTTATATATTATTTCAATTTAGTCATACTTTTAATAAATTAAAATAAATTTAATCATCTAATCGAATAATGTCTCATATCACCCTCTTGTTGAAAGAAAACAAAGCAAAGTAAATTGGGGGCAAATAAATTTGAATTTGGGTTACTTAGGAAACCAAGCATGTACCCAACTATTGAACCAAGACCAATGTTTAGTCTAAAATAGACAATATGATGTATATATTTTGTATGTTAGTATATAAATACTTAACTTAAATTCATATATATTTATATATTAACTTTTAAAATATTTTTTATATTAACTTATAAAATATATTTTATTATTAACTTAATTTAAAAATATTTTTAAATCCATTTAGTCTCAGTTTGTTTTGCTTTGTTTTCTTTCAACAAAAGGGTGACACGTGTCATCTTATGATTGATAAAAAATACATATATTAAATTAAAATAAAATGACATGTGATACGACATTCGGTACTAGTGATACATGGAATCATTCAATTGGAGGAATATATTTATTTAAATATATTAACAGCAAGACTAAAATTGAGAGAATATATAAATAACATGGATCAAATGTGTGGTTATACATAATATTTTAATTGTTATTGGCAGTTAACATGCTGAAAACATCTTAACTAAATACCCTTTCACTGCAACTATCGTCCAATGAATTCAACCAACTAATATATTAATTTGCATATATTAGAATTAGAAGCATTTTTGGGCCCAAATTCTTTATAGATATTTTATTTATCATTATTGCAGTCGGGCCTTAGTTGGCCCAGTTCATGTTAAACGAACCTGTTTATATTAATAGCTAAATTACACCAGTTTTTTTTGGGTTTTTGGCCCAATAGAATAAACAACTTTTTAATTAGCCCAATTCTGCATATAAAAGTTTATGTTGGGATCTACGGTATTTGTAATAGTAACTTTAAACTCGTTAAATTGACGAGAAAAATTCTAATAAAAAATATTTTTTAATTGAACTTTTTCCCGGATGTGATCAATTTAATAAAAAATTATTTTTATTGAAATTCGTCACTTCGATATGATGAGTTTTTTTAATACTGTAACAAATATCGTAAATCGCATAATAAACTTATATATGCCTTATTGGGCTAGTTAATAAAACTGTTTGCTCTATTGGACCAAAAGACACTGTTATTTAATTTCTAGGTCATAATATTTTAGTCATTCAAAATGAAAAAAAAAACTTTCATTTTAATCATTCAATAAATTGTTAATTATTAAAAATTAATATTTTATACATATATTATTTTAATTCTAAAAATCTAAATGTTAATACCCTAAATCTAAATTCTAAATAGGACATATATTATTAAAATAAATTCGTGTAAAACAAATTTTACATAGCTTGGATATAAATTTGTAACCTCAATTTTTTATAAATAAATTAGACCAAGTCTCATATATTTACACAACATTTGCACATAATTAGACCAAGTCTTATTTCAGTATATTCATGTTGGGTCAATACTCTATTTTTGGAGTTGGTAAACGTTCACATTTGAAGTCAATAGTCATAAGTCACAGATGCCCACAGCTTATTGTTCTTCTTAAACCTCAATTAATAAAGTAATTAAACTTTAATTTTGTCCACCTAATCATGTTTTGGGTCAACATTTCTAGTGAGTCCAAGTCAGTCCATTAAGTCAAATAACGAATGGGAACCTTTGCTTTGTATTTTATTTTAAAACAAGTTTCCTTATTCCCTCATTGGACGGATATTAGTTATTGTATGAAATACGCATAAATTAATATTAATTATTTTTTTCATCCAAATTAAATCTTTAATTTTAAATATTTTAATTCATTTTTAATTATTTGAATAATTATAAAATATTAACTATTCAAAAAATTTTAATCAATTACCTTGTAAACATAATTACTTGAAGTTAAATCTTTTCTAAAAAATAATACTTTTAATCTTTATAGATTAAATTCATTTCTCATTAAAAATTAATTAATTTTAATTAATAATGACTAGTATTTCGTATTCATACCGGCGCCTATAGAGAAGCAAAATCGCCACTCTTCCCATTAAAAGGGAAACTAACACTTTCCCTCGTTTTCTCAGTTTCCTTCCGATTCTCACTCTCCAAACAAGCACTTTCTCCCCCTAAATCTTCGCTATATCCACATAACAATCAGAATTCATTTAAAATATCTTTATTTTTCTCCTTTTCAAACCGCCCCTTTTCTTCTTCTTTCCTTTTCCCTAAACCCATTGCATGAACTAAAGCAAACCTTTTCCGTAAAAATGAAGAAAATGAGCATGTGTTTCCTTCCGGTTGTTTCCGATAACGGTTCGATGGTCGGAAAACGATCGAAGTCGTCGTCGTCAGATGTTAAATCGCCCCTTTCACCGGCGAAGAACATGATGGGTTCCGACGACAGAGACGATGATGCTCCTGGAAATTCTTTTGGTCGGAAAAACAAACTTGGCCGCCGGAGTCTCTCTCGTTTTGTCAATGCCGTCTTCTTTGAAACTTCTCTGGTCAGTTCCCTTTTTTTCTGCTTCTTCTTGTCGTTTAATCTTATGTGGGTTCTTTTTTATAAGTGAAACTAAAAATAGAAATTTACTTAAAACCATGCATTTAAAATTCAAATCTTATATACATATATGAACAGATTACCAGTAGAGTATACAGTAACAGTATGAACACTTAGTTCTTTCGTGTGTTAATTATTTTAGTTTCTGCTTTTAATGATAATTTGATCAAATCAATTCAATTGTATACTCTTCACAGAAACACTTACTGTTCTTGGAAATTCAATCTCCATGTGCTTCACTGATTAAAAATTCTAGTCAAAATTGTTACGTTTCTTCTGTTCTCTTTTGTGTCTGATTATATATATATATATATTGAAATTCAATTTTCATTTGCATTTGATAGATGAAGAGAATGACAAGCAAGAAACTGGATCAGAAGCTGCACCGGATTTACAATGGCGAGATATCCAAATCTAAATCTGAATTAAAACCGAAGAAGATTTTCAGTCCGACAATCAACGATGTGCCACCGTGCGAGGGCATCGATCACTCAACAAGTGACAATTCTTCTAAGATCTCATCTTGTTTATCAAAAGATTCATCTTCATCATCGTCGAGATTGTTGTCGTTAACGACGGCATCTGACCGTTCATCTTCATCATCGTCGAGGTCGTCGTTAACAACTCCATCCGGCCGTTCATCTTCGTCGTCACTTTCCCGTAATTCGAGGCCGGCATCGTCCAAAACCGCGGAAAACAATAAAATGATTGAAAAGGACCATGGTTCCAGGATCGTTTCTTGTTGTTTGCTCCTTGTGAGCCTATTGGTTTTGGTCATTTGGGGTAAAGTTTCTGCAATTTTCTGCACCTCGGCCGTGCTGGCCCTTACGAACCGGTGGGCTAAACGAGGTCCATCGGATAGTGTTGCGGTCGATCATCGTGTATTCGAGATCGATTCGAAGCATTACAGGAAGAAGATTATCATGGAAGGGTTGCTAGAAAGGAACCATGGTCGAAATGTATATCCATACATTCATAGTCATACTTTTGGAACTATATAAATGTTATCTATAAACAAAAGGAAATTAGGTTTCTAGACTCTCAGCAAATTTACCAGATTCTTGCATGTAATTTTGGCTAATGGATTTACACTTCGATTATTCATATTTATATTTATTTTGATATAAGATCTCGATATATTTCAGTTATTAGTATATTTATTTGTGATTCGTTACGTTCGATATTACATGTGGACCATATCTGTAATCAAGATATAGTTCGTTTATCACCATGTTTATCAAAATAAGATTTAAAAAATAATTTAGATGATCAAAATGAAATTATAAAAATATAATTATTGAATGTGTAATTTATCCTAAAAAATAATGTTTATCATGGCCCAAAAAAATAAAGAAACAAAACCCCTTAAACCCAAAAAAAAAAACCTCGTTAATCTTCTTATCTCCTAAAGTCCTCCCTCAACCCCGAAAAGTTCAGTCCACCAAAAATGGTGGCAGTAAAGCTTATGCATCTCAAACCAAACTCTCTTCTTCCTTTCACAACCTTCTCTCTCAAACACTCCTTTTCCTCTCTTCCAAAACCCTCAATCCTTTCTCTCTTGTATTCCACCCAAACCCAAATCAAAACCCAAAATTTCTCTTATGGCCCTTCTCTTCACAAAGGCAAAATCCCACTCGAAACCCCTGGAGAAGCTTCACCGATCAGATAGAAGCTCCAGGAAGCAGGACATTGATGGAGTATTGAATCCAGCGGCACCGAATAAGGTTTCTTTAGGTGGCCATGATGGTGCATTTGAAGCCACTGCTGTTGAAACCACTAATCCAACCGACTTGCTGGATTCTACTGATAAAGATATGTTGGAAGGGAGATTAGTATATATAAGACTGCATTGGAAGGGAGGAAAGTGGAGTTGGCGGATGGTGAAGTGGAGAGAGATGATGATTTGGAGGTTCAGATTGGGAATAAGTTGAGAAGGGATGCCTTTTTGGATAATTGTGCTGTGGGAAAAGTGGTACTCAATTATAATTATTATAATTATCATGTTTTAGGATTAATTGTGCGAAATTTACAAAATTTTACGACCGCAACTTCTAGAGTGATCGCAATGTGACCGAAAATGTAACCGCCAACGCTATTTAAATATCTGTTTATAGTAGCTTTTGAATGTGTTATAAAAGATTAGAGAGATGGAATTTAGCTTTAGCATTAGTCTTAAAAACGCTTTGACGCTCTAGTTAATTAAACTGGAAAATTTTGAATGTTATAATGTCTTATATATAATAGTTTTTGAATGTGTTATAAAAGGTAGAGAGATGAGATTTAGCTTCAGCTCTAGTCCCAACATGTTTCGATGCTGTATGTGTTAATTGGAGAATTTTCAATTTATTTGATGTATGCGTGGACTGTCGGTACTTTTTATTTGGATGCTCTAGTTGCTTACCTCTTTTTCTATGATATATGATTTTTGCAAATTTGATGCTGTTACTGTATCTATAGTATGATTTCTATTATGACATATTGTTCATGTTTGTCACATCTGAAATGCCACCCCCCTTCCTTTTTTCAGGCTGTGTTGGTTGAAGAAACCAGAGAGAATAGTTCCTCGACTATAGAGGTTGTGAGATGTAAGCTGACTTTGTTCTATGATTATTGGCAGATGAATGAGGTATATCGCACGAAAGCATCATAATTGTGTTTGTTTGGGGGGCAAATTTATACCACAAACATTGATTTCAAACTTATGTTATCTCTTCAAGAATGACGTCTTGGGCATCAGATTCATTTAAGTAATTCTTGAAGTTAGGGTGTCTTGCCCGCAGAGAATGTTCCTTGTTTCATCATTCTCGCCTCTCATCTTTCCCCCCCTTATATCCGTCATTTTCTAATAATGCTTTGAAAGACTGTAACGCAAATTAATGGTAATCTGGTTCACTTACTTCTAATGTCATTGTCTTTAATAAGCTTAGAAGCTAGACTGGCAGCATGATTGGCAGAAATGGAAGGACTTTTAGTTTGCAAATGAATGGACAAAGCAAGATTTTGGAATCATTTACGTAGACATTTTGTAATTATTATCAATCATTAAATCATGTCATGAAAATTCTGCATATGCTATTCTATTACACAAGGCCACAAAACTGTAGCGTCCACGGCAAAGAGGAAAGAAAATTAAGGGGGAAATATTGAGAGTGGGTTGTAGTTTTTTCTTTTGGTCCCACCTCTAACTATAACAACTAATCAGAGTCAGATATAAATGTTTGCAACATCAATGGGGGCTCTAAATCTTATGCATTCCTTGCAGATCTTGGAGACCCTGCTACCAGAGGGCATGATTATCCCTTCAGCCTTTGAGACGGTTGGTCATATTGCACACTTGAACCTGAAAGATGAACATCTACCATACAAGAACGTTATAGCGGAGGTTCCTATTATAGAAATTAGTATATTGCACATACTGAAGATACAAGTCTACAACTTTGAAGGTGAACTCATCATTTGTCTTCTGACAGGATATGGTTGTTTTCCACTTTATCAGGTGGTTCTGGACAAAAAGAAGCCAAAAATACAAACAGTTGTAAATAAGATTGACGTCATTCAAAATGACTACCGAAAAATGCAGCTTGAGGTGTTAGCCGGGAATCACTCCTTGGTGACTACAGTAGTTGAGAATGGACTGCGATTTCGTGTTGATTTAGCAAAAGTGTAAGCACTGCTTTCATCAAAACAATAAGATATTTAACTTCGGTGACAAGGTATTCATGTTCCTCTTTTCCGCCGTTTATGCAGTTATTGGAACTCAAGGCTTGGAACTGAGAGGCAGAGGCTTCTGAGTGGCTTCGATCGCAATGATGTCATATGTATGCTTTCAACTCTACGTTGTTTGGCATTATGTATTACAAATAATGATTGTTATAATCACCATAAGAGTATTTAATGTGCGCAAATTTTGTACTAGCTGTAATTTTTATATAAATATTCGTATCATATCAAGTGGCTTACATGTCTCAATTCTTCAATTTTTTGTAATTTACAGGTGATGTATTCTCTGGGGGTCCGATTGCTATATCTGCCGCTAAGATAGTAAAACGTGTTTATGCTAATGATTTGAACCCTTTTGCGGTTGAATATCTTGTTAGAAATATATGCTGTGTGCATCTTTTATTCTTCCAAGGAGTAGCCTTTGCAGAATGCAGTTTAAGTGTATAAAATAGTTGATTTGTAAAACTGAGTATTTCATATAAAATTTTGTATAGTAAACACCTTATTCATTTCTGTGGAAAATATAGTTATTTTCACTGAGGTGAATATACACTTTCAGAGGATTCCAACCAAAAGAAAAGAGCACAAAACAATGAAAACACCTAAACAACAGAGAATTCATGTTTTTTCAAAGATACATGAACATCTTACAGACGCATCTAGTTACTGTCCCCACGTTTATGTTTTACGGTCCACTTTTTATCATATATGCAGTACTGTAACAGCTGGGGGTACCTGTTTTGGATGGCACAGATTAACCCAACACAACGCTCTGAAGTCACTCTGTTGAGAGATCCTGTCCCTCCATAAAAATCTTAAAGAACCAAAGACAGAGATGATGATTTTTCTTTTTAACTATGTTGGGCAAACATGCAATAAAACCTTGGAAAAGGAGTCATGTAGGGAGAAAGATAACAGCAAAGAGCAACAAAATCTCTGTTCAGATTGCTGAGATCCCAGTAATTATTATTGTTTTTATATGGCTGAGGTCCAATATTGAAATGAGAGAGAAGAAAAGGGACCTTTTGATCTTTGGTAAGGGCATTCTTTGATTTTTGTTTTTTGAACTTCAAAGAGGAAGGTCCTTTCACAAGCTGCATAAAGCTACAACCAACAGTTACTCTAACCTTTGATCTTTAATTTTAACCTAAAATGTTGCCCAATTTAATGAAGTACTTTATAAATTTTTATTTTAAAATCGATTAATTGCGGCCTTTTTCAATCTTATATTAACCTATTGTATTTTAGACTACCCAAATATATGTATGGATCTAATTAGTTTTTAAGTTGTTGATATATTATTAATACACTAATGCAAATTAATTTAAGGATAAAAGTTGAATTAGTTTGATGTCACTTTCTTTAGTTTTTTTTAAGGTAATATACATATGGTCCCCCATTGTAATGCAAAAAAGGAGATTTCCGTGGTTAGGGTCATAGCCCTATAAATGTATGATCTCCATCAAAAGCTGCCAAATGGTAGGACACCTATGCATATAAATGCCCCAAAACTGAGTCCATGTAGGGCACAATCTGCTTCCCAAACCCCCAAGAATCCTTCCATGTCTGCCAAAACCCATTAAACCCTAAACCCTCTGTCTAAACCCCCCAAAACTCATACATGAGGAAGAAAACCCTAAACACTCTGGTTCCACACATGCGACCATCTCCGGCCAGCTTCCACACCTGCCAAATCTCACATTTTTTGTAGCCGCCTATATCCCAACCAGGGTTTTAAATAGCGTTCGCGGTCACGTTTTCGGTCGCGTCGCGTTAATCATGGTTACGGATATAACGGATGTTATTGCGGTCATTGCGAATATCGCGATCGAGAATTTTTTTCGAATGAGCAGTTTTTTTTAATAAAAAACCTGTTTTTATTAAAAAATTAAAATAACGAAAGAATAGCGGTCCGCTATTGCTGTGATTGGCCACAATCCGTTAAATTACGGCCGCGATCCACCGCTATTGGTGTGATCCCGCTTCACACCGTTATTTTTCGCGATAGCGGTTTCGGACACCACTGCGACTGCGATATAACGGCCGCGATATCACTATTCGGCTGCTATTTGAAACCATCATCCCAACACCTATGGTGGCCAGCCATAACCAATGTCCCTTTAAGAAGATTATCTCTTCTTTACATACGAAGAATAAAACTTCATCACACCATACATATGCATATGGCCTAGGATCTGGAGAACTAGATCAAGGCCTAAAGAAGGAAACTAGAGATCAAAGCCTTTTTGCTTAGGTGGCAGGTGATGATTGGTTGGAATTTTGGTATTCTGGACCGTCCTACATAAATTTGTTCAGCTTGCATGCAATTGTGTGAAAGGGATGGGGTTCCCTGGGATGATTATAAAGATCTTCAACCAGAATAATATCTGAAAATTACATCTTCGGTTAGTCACGCGGTTTTTATTGTTTTATTTTTCTCCACCCGTTTTAAGCTTTTATAACACACCACGATCATGATTCAATGGTAACAGGGCCTAGGAATTTTCCGTCTAATACTATCATTAAAAGTCATTATAAAATCTCCTATACAAAATCGAAAGAATACTTCCTTTCTTCTCCTCTTTCTCCCTCTCTCCTGACAACATCGCCCCTAATCTTCGGTTACCATTTTCTCTCAAATCACCGACTACGATTCTTAGTATAAACTAGAAGGAATAAACCACCAAAACCAAGTTTTACAATTCCATAAACTAGTAAAGTACCCCATGGACTCGGCTTTATTTATTTTAAGGTGTTTTCAAAATATGCAGGGATCAGGGGATCATTGCAACCCTACAACATAGCTAGGTAGATTCACATTATCATGACCAAAACGTACTCTTTATGATTGCTCTTCCACCTTTTAATTATTATACAATTATATAAAAAAATAATTAAAATACAATATAGTATATGACAAAATTCCAAAGAATATATCAAGTTAAAACCCACCTCCTTGTTATTATAAGCTTTATTCCTTCTAGTTTATACGAAGAATCGTGTCCTGGAGTTTGTGAAGAGCAACAAAGGGAGGAAACCTAATGGGAAAGCCCCACACCCAAAGAAACAGCCACAAAGAGGCATGGGAGTTGCCCAACTCGAACATTTAAGGAAAATGAATGAAACCAGAACCATAACGGCAATAACCCAGTTCCCTTGTGAAACTAGAGGAGGAGGAGCGGCTGGGAATGTTCCCTTGTTTCACGGTATAGTTAGCTATGGTGTTCTGTTGGTAAAATAGACTGCTGCAAAACGAGGCATTAGCATTGATTGGAAAAATATATATATTGAAATATATAATTAAAGAACCGATTAACCGTGTCGTGGTATTAACCACTGCCTTAGAAACGAATTCGTCCCGATGTGTGTAATCGCTGCAGTAGGCGGACCTTCCTCCGAGGTTAACACGGTCGCTCCGAATTCCGTACACCCGAAACCGGAGTGGACTGCTGATGGTATTGCACTTCTGATCGGAAAGCACGGAGAGAACAACTTTAGAAAACACTTGGAGAGTGAATTCTAATTGTAGAGAGTGTGTGTTGAGAAGCTGAATTTAGCTCTCTATTTATAGGCTAGAAGTAAGGGTAAATCCGTCCAACAAGAAAATCAAATTAAATTTGATTTTAATTATGAATTTAAACCCTTTTTGTAACTCCTCTTGATGAATCTGGCTAAAATAAGAGTCCATGTTCATTGCATAAAAATTAAACAGTTATAACTCCTGAAATTAAATCAGATAACTCATGTAACTTCTGATATTAACAACTTGTCTTTCCCATGAACAAAGCTTGAAATCAGTCCAGATACATCTTAAATTCTGATTTAATTTAGGAAAATAACAGTTTAATGGTAAAATAGACTGCTGCAAAACGAGACATTAGCATTGACTGGAAAAATATATATTGAAATATATAATTAAAGAACCGATTAACCGTGTCGTGGTATTAACCACTGCCTTAGAAACGAATTCGCCCCGATGTGTGTAATCGTTGCAGTAGGCGGACCTTCCCCCGAGGTTAACACGGTCGCTCCGAATTCCGTACACTCGAAACCGGAGTGGACTGCTGGTGGTATGGCACTTCTGATCGGAAAGCACGGAGAGAACAACTTTAGAAAACACTTGGAGAGTGAATTCTAATTGTAGAGTGTGTGTGTTGAGAAGCTGAATTTAGCTCTCTATTTATAGGCTAGAAGTAAGGGTAAATCCGTCCAACAAGAAAATCAAATTAAATTTGATTTTAATTCTGAATTTAAACCCTTTTTGTAACTCCTCTTGATGAATCTGGCTAAAAAAAAGAGTCAATGTTCATTGCATAAAAATTAAACAGTTATAACTCCTGAAATTAAATCAGATAACTCTTGTAACTCCTGATATTAACAGCTTGTCTCTCCCATGAACAAAGCTTGAAATCAGTCCAGATACATCTTAAATTCTGATTTAATTTAGGAAAATAATAATTTAATTTATTTAATTTCAGACAACTAATAATCAGTTATTATCATCTGAAATATTCGAACTTTAATAGTCTCAGTAGCCTATAAATATCAGATGAATCTTTCACATTTTCATTTAATATTTCAGAGAAAAATTCCTTACGAATTTTCTCTAAAAAGATATTATTCGTGTGGACGTGTGAAAGACACGTATTACCACGCCTTGTTCTCTATCACTCAACAAGGGAATGGAGAATGTAAACCTTAAATACCATTCCCACTAGTATTTCCAACTCTATGTGGGATTGAGTATTACCAACATTCCCCCAGTAATGCGAAAGAATTCTTCTGAAACTCGAAAACAATCTTTCCAGAATAGCAATAGCGAGATTAGTTGCTTAAGCACTAGTGAACGTATCTGGAACTAGTACATGGTGATGATGAGCAATCCTTCTCTTAGATAAGTGAAACTAGTCTGGAACTTTCTAAGATGGGGGTAAACTCATAACACACAACTAACCCCTCCATCCACCTGAGTCCTCGATGTGTAAGATATATATACAAAAATATATATTTGGCCATCTTACCTCAGGATTCTAGTAAGTGTGCTAGAAAAATGGCCCAACATTTTTCATAGAAGATGTCTAACCCTTCTCACTTACATAGGTTATTTCATCAAGTTTATCTCGATATAAACCACCCTTAACAGGGATATGAAATAATTAAGAGCTTTTATAATAGCTCGACCTCACAAAGAGTATGGTGACTTTTTTCAAGTTCATTATTAATGAACCACCCAAACTCTGGGCTAAGAAGTCATTAAGAATAAATATTCATCCTCAATTATCGGTAAATTCA